TCCCTCCTCTGGACATATCTAAACCACTGTCCCTCCTCTGGACATGTCCAAACCACTGTCCCTCCTCTGGACAAATCCGAACCACTGTCCCTCCTCTGGACACATCCAAACCACTGTCCCTCCTCTGGACATGTCCAAACCACTGTCCCTCCTCTGGACATATCTAAACCACTGTCCCTCCTCTGGACATGTCCAAACCACTGTCCCTCCTCTGGACAAATCCAAACCACTGTCCCTCCTCTGGACACATCCAAACCACTGTCCCTCCTCTGGACATGTCCAAACCACTGTTGTTCCTCTGGACATGTCCAATCCATCTCAGTGTGTCCTCTCTAACTTTATCTCCCAGTTGTTCAACCTGTGCTGTACCTCTGATGATCTCATTCCTGATCTTCTCCATCCTTGTCTCTCCTAAGGAGAACCTCAACATCTTCATTTCTGACACTTCCACTTCTGTCTCCTGTCTTTTTGTCCATGTCTCTGTCTCCAGACCATACAACAGAGCTGGTCTCACCACTGTCTTGTAAACTTTTCCTTTGACCTTTGCTGACACTCTTTTGTCACAAATCACTCCTGAAACTTTTCTCCATCACTCCATCCTGCCTGGACTCCCTTAACATCTTTCATACACCCCGTGTTTTTCTGGACAGTGGACACAAGGTATTTGAACATAAGTACTTTAAAGAAACCTTCAGGATATTTTAACGTTGGGTTTTGTAAAAACAAAAAAAAATACAAGTTTGAACAAAAACTACCTTTGCAGCCTCAGTAGTCTCAGTTTGGAGGAGACGTTGGACAGACCTGATGAACTACTGGTTAGTCAGGATGCAGCCAAGAGCAAAGTGGAGACACACGGATGTACGTCTGACGGTGATTTAAAAAAGTTACGTATCTTTTAAATTAACAGCTGTGAACTATTGAAGACTGGAGTTTTAGGACGATGTGTTCTCTTGGACAAGCTAAGCGTTTAAGACTGCAGCGATCCATCTTCAGACTAGTCTTTAGCTCATCAGTACAGTCAGGGTTTAACTCACAGGAAGTACATTTTAAAACAAATAATATTTTGTTATAGTCTTTACAAAGAACCCTACATCAAATGTCTGAAATATCCATTTATGGATCGTTCTTTCAAACTAAATTTCTCTCTGACTCTAACCCGTTCAGTCTCAACAGCATGTGTAGAATAATATAATCATCCCAAGCTACACTGGAAACATGTGTTTGTGCCGAACATCAGAAAACTGGTTTTTATTTAACTGACACAATCTTATTTATAGCAGGTCCAACTGCTGAACATGTGAGCACAGTACGTCAGCAACAAACAGAAACGATGAGTTAAATGTTGTCTGCAACAAACATAAACGATGAGTTAAATGTTGTCAGCAACAAACATAAACGATGAGTTAAATGTTGTCAGCAACAAACAGAAAC